CATTTGCACGACGTACGACAGCAAACTCACCTTTTTCAACCTACCTACGATGTTTGGATGAGGTTCCATAAAGCAGCTAGGCGTGTTATTCCAGATCCTACCGAAGCCATGGGCAAACAAGAAGTTCTTTATACAGCTATTGCCACTCACCTGGCCAGCAAATCACATACGAACTCCAAGTGGATCTCAACCACCGTGTCTTATCTGTCCTGCAGGAGGGCAATGAAAAAAGGTTACCTTCGCTCACACTGTATCGTTCTTGCTTACAGCATACGGTCCACCCGAATGTCTAGTTTATCCACACTCGGTTGCAGAATACCAAGGAAGGCAGTCTCAAGAGAAATCCAATTTCCCGCCAACAACTTACTTAGGAAATTGGTGTTTGCCGCAAAATACGCAGGCATTCGATTTCAAATATGAAATGAGCTTGTTTCAAATCTAAGCCCTAGGCTAACCTGATGAACTTTAAGAAGGGCGGAACCGACAGTTGGCCGTACACAGTTGGATTTAGCCCACTGGTTGAGGGGCGGAATTACTGACCAGAAGATCCATTCTTCTACCGTACCCTCGACATCTCGGCCACTCCCGTCTAGTCTCCGGCAACCTGGCGACAACGAGCTAGATAATTATACTTGATTAGCAAGGCGCCTGTCTCTATGTTTACTCAGCTCAATCTGTCTGATGGAGGTTTGTTTTTCATCTTGAAAAAACTATACTGTTTGTCGTATGCTTACAAAACAGCCCATTGGCCTAGAGGAAAACCAACGTGAGTGGCCTTGTCCAATTACGCATTACCAGTGTTCACCCTGAACTGACAAATGCATTGGACAACCTTTACAGAACAGTAGTATAAGAAAAGTCTTGCGAATAAGAATGCTCTTTTAGGCAGGAACTGCACCAAACAATGTATCCTTTTGAAATGTAGACCAATTTTGAACACACTCACAAAATAATGAACTTTAAAACAGAGTGAACTTCAGATTCGACTAATTATGACTAGAAAGTCATAAGGCTGTTGAAAATTCTCCGACAGCCCACGACCGGTTTCGTCCTTTTTGGGGCTCATCAAATAAGTACAGTCCCTGAGTTTCCGTCAACTCTATGTTCTTCTTGAAACCAAATTTGTTTGCAAATGAGTGTATCTCGCTAGAAAGTGATTTGTTTCAGAAATTCAAGCTCTTTCGGATGGTTGAAAGCTCGCCCCTTCTGAGAAATGAGTAGTATGTCGTGTGGCAGGGTCATGAACATTCCAGCCCAAGATTATTGTACAAGAGGAGCTGCGAACAACTCTTTTTGATCAATCACTGAAGCTTTCGGAACCCATTTAGGTTAATCCCACCCCAACTGTCACTCACACTAGCCCCGCGGAAGGAGGGTCATTGACGCAAAGCAATAGGGATGGTGGATCCGTTCCTAGTTTTACAATGTCTGTGTGCGGATTGCTAGCTCAATGAGGGTATTCCTGGTTTAGGAGGTAATGTGAAGGGGATGAACTCGTTGTCTGCTACGTCACAGACGCAAATTCTGATCCACTTTATCGTGGTTCCTCCTTCAGCTTCGTGTGTAGACTACAGCAAAAGTTTAGAGGCGGTGACAAATTGGTCATTTCTCACGGTATAACATCGATTATGGATTTACTCCTCCGGATTCGGCCGCCCTGGTTAAGTCGAGAAATATTCATGTGCTTGATGTCTGCGAGCAGAAATAGCGCTGGCAGGGTGGGAGGAACGCTTGCCGTCCTTCGATCTGATTGGCTGTCGCGTCGTAGATGTCGACCAATCAGCTGTCGCTGAACCAATGTCCGCAATTCGCCTTCCAGCCCGTCACAGGGAGGAGTGAGCGAGCACATGCGCTTTGCACGAGTTAGCGCATGCGCTCCGTGCGTCCGTGCGCCCCCTGTTTGGTGCATGCTTGTGTGTTTGCGTGAGACAGCACCCTGCGCACACCTGAAATAAACACATTCACTATGCCAATTTGTACAAGCAGTTGTAGCACAAGCGCACATTTCTTCATGAAACGACACAGGCGCACACACGAGCCTTACTTTTTTCCGCCGTTATTCTTCACCTACTTCGGCTTTAAAGTAAACTCTAGTTCGTGCTGGATTTTTACAGTTACCGATTGAGCACGTACGACGGCTTAACAAGAACCCGAAATAGCACAAGGCACGGATAGGCACGAGCCGATCGAAGGCAAATCGGTCGATTTCTCTCTCCGGGTGTTCGGCACACATTACGCGAGAGCACCAAACGGATCAATTGTGGTGGCTACGTTTAGAAGTGGTGGCCAAACATCTGGAAAACTATAAAGTAAGTTTCTCACGTTTATGTTATGTGAATTGGTCTTCGGTTTTAAAAAAAGTAGAACGATGCACGACTCCCGTTTTGTGAGTTGCTACCATAAATCTGGTTGTGGTAGGACCAGGTGTACAATGAATGCTTAGGAAACGGTTAAAAGTAGACAGGTATTGACCTTCAAAGAAAATGTCCTCTTCTGGTTGGGAGAACTTCACAGACAGTCGAGTGATAATTGTCAACGAGCGTTTCTTGCCTTTCAAATACCAAATAGCGCATATCATTTGCAAATTTTATTGGAATCATTACTGACAACCAATCGATTTGCGAGTCGACACTCTAGCCATTGTTCCCAAAAACAGTTTGGGAAGTAATCCTTAAATGCTACTGTTTCGAACTACTCTTTGAACTATTCAGATTGAAACCGCTCGTATGTTTACGTCTCTGTGCGTCACAAAAATTCGGTTGGTCATTCTTGGAAATTACCTTCAGGCGTGATGTTTCATCGTTTGTTTTGCTTTGTCTTCTAAACAATGTGTGCTTATTTATGGCAGGTCAGCGGTTAAAAGTCCCTAGAATGACCATTTTCGATAGTCATGTTGAAATTCCCGGAAAGCAAATATTAGGGCAACTCGAACTTTTGTTGGTGACCGCACAAAAACTTTTATCACATGTCTTGATTCATCTGAGGTTCGCCCGCCAGGATCCAATAGACACGAACACCTAGTTATTTGCTGTGACGTACATGATCTGAGTGAATAGGTACTAATTGTTTGTGGAATAAGCCTGCATCTTCAATTAGTAAATCCACCCAAAATAGCCATGGACAGGGTCCCCGTCCCTGTCAAAGAGGTGTTCCTTATTCTGGTTAGGATTTGTGGAGATACCAGGACGTCCTGTCCAGAACGGTGTCTCTTTAAAGAAGTTTAGCACAGACGCAAGTGCTCTGTGTTTCTCTCCAACCAAGCCGGAGTTTTGCGGAGCCCAATGGGGGAAGAGTTTACCGACTGCGGAGAGAATATCAATGGAGTCATATTAAATCAAGGAACATTCGTTTGCGGCTGTTTCAACCTGTATAGGTACAAAAATGGATCTCCGTGTTTTACCGAGTTTCACTTATTCTGTAAAAAGTAAAGCCAGAATCCGCACTTAGTCAGGGGAAGACGAATTTGATCCACTTGTTACCTGTGAATCTGTGAATCAACATCTCCCTTCAAATATACTGATCAGAAGGTCGAAAGACTTGGTCAGACACCCACCAGTGTTGGCTTTGGAAACATCACAAATTTATGCACTATCGTAGTTGAACTTGTGAGTGTTTCTTCGATGATGGGTAACTGGGGAAGGTCGAATACCACTCACAACACTGAATTAGAATCTCTGAGGACAGCCCAATCTGCTTCTCATGAGGTACGGACGAGAAATTCACCGATATTTTCACGACAGAAAGCCAAAGCAAGACACGTCCTGCCCATGCTCTTGTCTCCTCTCCAAAGAAAGGTCACCGAACGTCCATCAACACCATAACTTATGAGATTCTCTGATTTGGTGCATCAGCCTTGTTGAAACCAGTCATTCACCTATCCCAAGGTCACTACTCTCATCTGTTTGGACGAGAATGAATCTAGGGTGTCCGGTCAGCTGGCACTGAACGTAACTGTCTGAGCTTGATTCGAACTCAAGCTGATGCGAGCTCGCCACATTTCTGAATCTCTGAGCGTTCCAACACCCTTACTTCCGCTAGGTCGGAGTGTGAAGTCACATTCATTACCATATACCCGGAATGTGAATATAAAATGCGTGATTGTGGTGATAACAAGAGAAATATTTGGAAACAGGTTGCATGAAATGTGGGAATTCATTGGAAAAATTGGTGCTGCTCTTGCACCAAATTCAGTGATGGATTGCACAGATAGTGCTTAAAAACGAAATTCGGTGGGGTGAGGAGCTACATGAATGTCAGAAATTTTCAGTATGTCGAACTCTAGAGTCAAAAAACGGAAACTGTCCCACTAGTTTTCGCGTACCACATAGCTGACTTCTTGAAGTAAACGCATCCATGAATGGCGAATCAGGTCCGTTTCGGGTATCTAACTATTATGAATGGTAACAGAGGGATTGAAAAGATTCTCAGGGAATGACTGTCAGTCACATTGATGTAGAGATATCGAATTGATCTAAACGCTAAGTTTCACTACAGTTATCGGAGAAGCGAACACACACCTTGTGGGACTGTATTTAAGCAAGCTGTTCTGTAACTTGGGTCTATTTGTGATCAAGTGAATTTCAAGACCGATGAAATGCGAAGGCGTGAATTCAAATGTTCCTAAACAAGAAGCTCGTTCAGACGGAGAAGCAATAGAACCCTATACCTTGGTACTACATATCTTAAATTCTACGGTCACGTATCCACACTTTAGGTAATGACTGTGCGATAAATTTCGCAGGCTGAAACAGTCTGTCTTTCAGCTAGGATTCAATTCACTCTTCGCGTCTTCTGATCACCATACCTAAGCATCTGAAGTAAGTGTAGGGAAAGAACCTGTATTGCTTTTGTAACCCTATCAAGTCCTGAACACAAAAAGTGTATGGTCCACTTTCAACCTTGCACCATGAGCTTTTCTGAATAGGCAGATACACCACCTGGATACTGAACTGAGTTACAACACGCTATCTAACCCGTTGTTCTCTGACAGCTCGTCTCCCATGCAAACGGATTTTATCACAGCTCAACCCTACGGACTGGTTCCGAGTTGCAACCCGAATCCCGTTCCCGCACCCACATCAACTTCCTGTCTGTACGGCACGTATCCACTCGTTCTGTCCGAGGGCGGCACACACGTATCCACGATGGATTATGGTGTACAACCTCTTCGTTCCCTCCCGTTTGCCCCCAGCAATTCGTCTGCCTTCAATTCAAACCTGTTTGCTGGGATTCAGGCTTTCCAGACGACCTACAAACATTCTGATCATGGTGACAACAAACCAAAGGACTCCTATCCACAATGCACTGGTCAAATTAAACCAACCGATTATCACAGAGATTATGATTTCTTCACACCGAAAGTGTCTCACAGCCACACCAAGTTGCTACCTGATTGCGAGACCTACACCTTTGTACCGGCAAATTCGCTGACGGACAATGATCCGTTCGGCTCAGTTACTTCCGACGCCAATCTACAAACACCGGACGATTCAAAAGCTTTTGGTTCTCTTGCTGTCTCCATGCACCCAAATGGTCTGCAATCTTCCGCACCGGCATCACCGCGAATGAAAGAGAAGTCGAAGAATGCGGCGCGCACAAGACGGGAGAAGGAGAATGCGGAATTCTACGAATTGGCCAAACTGTTGCCCCTTCCCAGTGCAATAACTTCCCAACTGGACAAGGCGTCCATCATTCGACTGACCACAAGCTATCTGAAAATCCGTTCGAATTTTCCCGACGGTAAGTAGTGTGGGCGATAACCAAGTATCAGTATCTCGAAGGGGTGTGTGTGTGTGCGAGTTGTTGCCATGGTCATATCGTATTATCTGGAGCATATCATACACTTCGAATATGAGTTACTCGGTTCCTCAAACGTAACCGCAGACGGTGACACTAGTTCTCTTATCACACAATTATCGGTCTGGATTTTTTCAAGGTTCAGAGTTCACTTGCGATTAAGGTCTGTCGGATTATGCAGAGATTGAACGACGATCGAACAGTAGGTTATCACATGAAATTACAGCACGAAAACCAAGCAAGACCTAGTGACTGTGACAAGCATAAACTTGGTGGTGCTTTTAATTGCTACTCAAATTACCTGGTGGGTTACTTGAGTTTTCTCTCACGTCTTATTGACTGACGTCAGTAGTCTGCACTGTTAAGATTTCGATGTTAGGGATTTACGCTCGACAAACCATCAGGGCGATGGGCTGAGCTGTGTTCGACTGAAACCCAATGCTCGTCGACGGAATTTATTGCATAGTCTCTTGACGTTCGTCGTCACGATCGACACAAAAGGTCAACCTGAAAACCGCGGCTGTGTGCTTGTTTTTTAAGCATTCGAGGCTTAAACTTTCTTGCAGGAGAATGTAATGGGCCTGTCGTCAAATATGTCGAATGCGACTGAGGAGGATGGGGGTGAGAATGCAACATTTTGGCCGTCTTTGTGCTGCTTTTTATTACTCAATTCCTTGCTCCTTTTCCAGTGTAGCCATACTTTTATGAAGTCACCTATCGTAACAGGTACCATTAAAACGATGTCTGGTAAACATATTATGATGCTGCTTTTTATTACTCAATTCCTTGCTCTTTTTCCACTGTAGCCATAGTTTTATGAAGTCACCTATCGGAACAGGTACCATTAAAACCATGGTCTGGTAAACATATCATGCAAGGTGGCCATACCTACCGATAGTGGGGCCGATTTTATTGCCAACACTATGGGCAACGCAGGACATTAGGGTCTGTGAAACCCGTGCGGTTGAATGAAGAAACCAGTCAAGTTCAAGTCTATGGAGAAGTCCAATTCACCATCCGAACACAACTTGCCGGTCGGTGAACGACCTTGTTGAAACACCCGTCTAATGATTACTACAGTGTGACACGTGACCTTGGAAACTGAAATGTGACACTAACCCGTCTAATGACAGGGTGATTTTCCAACGAGGAGCAGAACAATGGAGATTTGCTTGTTTTCCGCAAAAATTGGGGTTCCTGTTACAGATAATAAATTCAGTTGGAAGAACTCCATACCACTGAATATGAACTGCATAGTTGTAGGTGACTAATGTCAGTTCCCGTCAGAGCAAGTACCCCGTTGCTCAGGGCGGACAGTCCCACCTAGCTGAGCCAGTAGGATGTCTTGATAACCAAACTTTAG